CATGAACTTCTCAAACATCTCTTCCAATGGTGGTTTTTTGTCCTGCTGCTGATATTGACCTTGTGGTTTGTTTTGATTCTGATTATTCCACGAGAAGTTTGGGTGTTTTCTCCAGCCTTGATTGAAGGTTTCCGAATGTGGGTTATTTTGTTGGCGTTGACCCCATTGCACAAAATCTGTTTGTTCAACTCCTTGCATTAAAATTGGACACTCTGATGTTTTATGCTCAGCTCCACATTCTTCATAGCTAATCTTCTTATTTTGTGTTGTTTGTGACATGCTTTCTACCTTGTGAAACAACGAGTCAATCTTCGCAGATATGGCTGAATATGCATCTACCTCATAGATACCCGAAGGCTTCTTCTGAATCACCCGCTCAGAGGACCACATGGCTGAAGTGGTAGCCATTCTTTCAAACAATTCCAGTGCTCCATCGATTGTTCGTGTGGAAATCGAACCATCTGATGATGAGTCCACCATGCTTTTGAAGTGTGGGAGTAACCCTGTATAGAAGAATCGGATTTGGGTCTTTTTGTCGAACCCATGTTGAGGGTACTTTCGGAGCATGTTTTTGAATCTATTCCAGGCTTCGTCAAATGATTCAGACTCCCCTTGACTGAATATCGATATCTCATGTCTTAGTTTCGCTATCTTGGCTGGTAAGAAGAACTTCGTGCAGAATTTATGAGCCAACTCGTTCCAAGTAGTGATGCTTGCAATAGGAAGTGAATCCAACCATTCAAGTGCCTTGTCCCGCAAGGTGTGTGGGAAAAGCCTTAGCCTAATAGCATTGTCCGAGATTCCTTGATATTTGAAATGTTGACACATATCTAAAAATCGAGATATGTGTGTATGTGGATTCTCTTCGGCTCTGCCATAAAATTGATGCCCATTTAGGAATAGCTGTATCACATTCGTCTTCAATTGAAAATTGGGTTGTCCAAACGGTGGATACACAATGCTGGACTGGCTTTGAATCACTTGAGGAGTCAAGAAGTCGCCTAAAATCTCATTTCCTTCGTT